AAGTGTCATGAAATTTAAATTTGGCGCATTTGCATTTCCGGATATGTCCGTCATCAGAGGCCACTTTTTTGGTCTCCTTTTCATAACGATTAGATTCCCTCTTTTGTCTTATTGCTCGATGGCCCCAACCCATAGATAAGAGGGTTTCCCAACCCCAAAAACCAATTTAACCCTACAAAGAATAAAAAAATATAAGGCAGAAGTATGGAGAAAGTGCTGATGAAGTTGTCATAATCGTCATGTCAAATTTGTGTTCGCGGTGTTGCCATATCACAAATAAATCACGAAAGAGTATGCGATATAATATTAATTAATGTTACTACACTCGGTTCGCTAATGCCAGTCCGAACTGTCTAGTGATTTTAGTAATTATGTTTTTACGAAGTTAGTTACTTTTTGACAGACTAGAAGTGGCTGGAAATTATTATACAACCAAGTACACGTGCTCATAGCGCATTTCATTGTTAGAGTATTTCGTTGACCTCTTTTGCAATCTTATACTAGAATTAGAAATTTATAGCATGTATATAGAATATAAGTTTCTATTATATATAAAAAATATGTTTTATAAAAAAAGTTACAGTAATTTAGTTTATATCGTTAGGTTGCGCCAAATGTAGGCAACCAACTTAAACTTTTTGTTAGCATTTAGCTGGAGTTTCTTGAGAATATATTTAATATTTTCCAGTTAATTTATTATTATTTTTTAAAGTGATGATAATAATGCTGAACAAGCGATATTTCAAATGATATCTAATCACAGGACGTACTTAATATTGTGTTATAAAGTAGGTTAGATAAAAAATATCATAATATTCATATTATAATTCAAAAATATCATTCATCAAAAATATCCAATATCATTAAAAATATAATTAAAACAAATCATAATCTTCTATTATTCCTATTAGAAACTAGTTTTGGACGGCCCGGGATTTTACCTTTTTTATCTAACGTACTTTATTATGAGGATTTTAAAATAACACAATATTAAGTACGTTTTGTGATTAAATATCATTTGAAATATTGCTTATTCAGAATTATTATCATCACTTTTAAAAATAATAAATTAACTGGAAAATAATAAACGTTTATTAAAAATATTCTCAAGAAACTCCAGCTAAATCCTAACAAAAAGTTTAAGTTGGTTGCCTAAATTTGGAGCAACTTAACAATATAAACTAAATTACTGTAACTTTTATCACAGCTTTTATTTAATTCTTGACGCCATGTCAAACTGAACTTGATGTTAACTGAAATGTTTTTGATATTAAGAACATGTTTACATAATTTTATAAATATATTTTAATGATCCACCTACGCCGAATGGGCAAATAATTAAACAAAAATGATTGGTGTTTTGAATAAATCTTTGTGCAGTTTGATTACCTCGTAATTTAACAGCATCCTTACTCATCTAAAAATATTAACTTTTAGGGAAAATTTATCATATTTATATTTATTCAAGAAAAACTTACCAACGCATTATCTGATAGAACAAATGGAAAACTTTGACTATCTGTAATAATAAAATTCAAAATAGAACTAACTAATTAACTAAATAGAACTAACAAAGAATTAAACAAAAATAATGGAACAATAAAAGTATATTAGCTAAAATAAACAACGCGAATAATACAAACATTTACTACAATATGTTCAATTGTAACAACTCAAATGTTATATTTTAAATATACAGGGAAAATGTTACCACTATTTGGAATAATTCTTCTTTTTTTTTAAAGAAGAAGTCTGCAGTAGTAGTATATTTGAGCTATTAATACTGAGAAGTAGGAATTTTTCTGTTGTAGGTTTCCGACAATGACGTATAATATATAGACTACGCAGTCCCCTATTCTCGCTATAGAATCGAGTGTCCGAAAGATCTCGACTCAAGGTTGAAGGTATGTTTATTAGAACAGCGGCGTGTTAATTTATATTTTAATGACAATAATTATTTTTTTAATTAAAATTAAATATTTATGATTTCTTTTTGTCCCATCTATAAGAGAAATAATTATTTTGATAAAATAGTATGGCATTTTACTAAAATAGTAAGTAAATAACTCTCAACAATTTAAAATAAAATTTGCTTGTCACACAAAATGGAGAAAATGCTTTCATACGTCCATGATGTTTTCAAACACAAGATCAACTTCGTGATGCTTCGTAAGAAATCATGAACTTCGTGTATCTTCGTATCAAAACAATAAACAATAACAAAGGTATTCATGTTTTGGACACTTTTTAAAGCGTTCACCGAGTCTATATATTATACGTCATTGGTTTCCGACAATGAATCTGTCAAAATATGCCCGAGCTAAGCGAACGGAGGATAAACATTCTTTTTAAAGTTTTTACAAGAAGTTTAATTAATTTAAATTTAATTTATTATAATTTAAATTATCTTTAATTTTTTAAGCTTTTATTCAGATACCACTTTATCCCAAAATTATAAGAAAATATTCATAAAATTGAAATCTGCTAAACATCTGTTGCAATCTGGCAACTACTTTTGACAGTATTGCCAAGTTTATTTACTAATCTACCAAAGGCCAATTATAATTTTTTTTTCTAATAACTAACTGCAACTAATATCAAAAGAAACAAATACTCATTCGGGCATACTTCAATATTGGTGCAATGAATATAACCTGGCATCGAACTATATGTTTGTGCGAGACAGTGTTTTTTGTATAAAGTATAGGAGTGTTTAAAATGGAAAGATACTTTGACGAAATTATATAATAATGTTTTAAAAAACTTATACAGAAGTAAAATGCTTCACATTTGTATTTAGGTATATACTTAGGTAAATGTGAAGTGTTTTACTTCTGTAAAATGTAAAAATGTACAAGCCACAATTTTTGAATTCATATTAAAAAGCATTCGTAAAATAATATTTTTTTACTTTAAATACAGCTAAATATTTAGTGTATTCTTTTGTTTAACCTAATTTTTTTTTCATTTAACTTTACTTTATTGTGTAGTTTATAAAGTTTCTAAACTATTAATTTTTACCTTAAGCATAATTTTAATAGTTTTTATTATATAAGTATTTTTAAATGTAGAAATGCAAGATATAATTTTATTTTATAATATTTATAGGCATGATACTATGACTATAAGATAAGATATTGCGCATGTTTTTGTGACGTCATTGGAGACTTGCACATTCGAAATGTCAGTTTTTGTATATATCAATAAATAATCTTTATTAAATAGTTTGGAGATATCCTTATGTGTACGATTATTGTAATTATTAAACCTCTTAACTTATTTTCGTCTAGTAATTTCATCACAGAATGCATACAAATCTCATTTAACTTTAACAAGAATTCAAATTCCAGCCTCCAATGACGGCATGCGCGAAACCGACCGATTTTGAGCTACGGGAAGATCCTATCTTGTTATTCATAGTATCATGATTTATAGGTATAATTTTAATGAATTATATATGTATTTTTCAATTTTACATTTTCATTTCATATAATATAAATCTTGCCAATAATTTTATGTATTTTAAGAGTGGGAAATATTTGAGTATATGGCAACACTGACGTATATTAAACATTTAACGTCAAACATATCAACAAGGTTATGTTCATTGCACATCATTCGTTAATCGCACGAATAGGCATCAAAGCGCCAGAGTTTTGGCGCACTGAACCAGAACTATGGTTTCTGCGGCTGGAAGCTCAGTTTCGACAAGCCAAAGTCACAACTGACAACTGTAATTCGACCATACTGTTGCTAGTTTTTAACTGTGGATGTCCAAAATGTTCCTCAGCGAATTTCCATGGACCGACTCAAACCAGCATATATTCCAGCAGCCCAACAGGTCCAGGAAGAACATGCATATGCCAACCGCCTGATGAGCAAAACAAGTCAACATAGCCGTTCGAAACCAGCAGGTTCCTCACTTTAGGGGAGCCCTGTGGCTGATTGACAGTTAACCTCCAGCCACACATGGGTTGACTGTGCTACCGAAGTGAGGGAACGTCGACTGAGAAAGAAGAGGAGAGGAGAGCCAGCTGATATCTGTCAGAACACGGACACAAGACACTATGAGGCAACAACGAAAAGAACTCTTACAGTTTTCTTACTTGTTTTTAGTATGTAGTTTATTGTTAATAAATCAATAAAACAGTTTAAAGTGTGCCCAGACTACCTTGCTCCCCGTAAACAGGCCACAGCACCAATATTGAAGAAAACCCTCATTCGTTCGTGTTTCATATGAATTTAAAATTTAAGAAAAATACCCGATTTTAAGTTTCAAAGCATATTTGAGGCATAAAACGGACGATTTTCACATTTGGTCCCATTGAAGTTAGCTCCAAATGGGTTTGACAGAATGAAATATTGGTGTTTTGCAGTGTTGAAATTTATATTACAAATGAAACATACGCAATTAAAAGCAATAAGATATTTAAAAACTAATATGTAACGATTACGAAAAAAAGAAAAAGTAAATAGTTTTAAAACAGTTTTTAACAGTAAATAGTAAAATGTCAGTACCTATAAATAATAAAATTTAAAAGGCATCTGTTGCAATCTAGCAGCTGGTGGTTTGAGGGTTGTGACTCTATTGCCAAATCTATCCGCTAACCTATCAAAGGGCAATTGCCAAAAAAAATTTCTAATAATTTATTACAACTCATATCAAACGAAACAAATATAACTTCATTAATATTTTATGTAAGGTATAAAATTGCAGAATCCATAAAATAATATGATAAAAATGTACCTTTTAAAAGCTTTATCTCTTTGTATTTGAAGCATATAACATACACATTATAAGAACGTGGCAACACTGCCAACGCAATATTTCGTTCTGTGAAACAGTGAAACTTAATTGACAGCTAATTTAAGGCTATCTTCAATGGGACCAACTGTGAAAATCGTCCCATAAAACATATACATAACGACATGGCAATACCGCAAACACAAATTTGACATGACGTTTATGCCAAATCTGCCAAATTAATCGAATCGGCACCATAGATTAAATATATATAAGTAGTGATCGGCACTTTCGTACTTTTGCCAAATATAGATAAGTGCATAAGTGTTGAATGAAGCGAAGACAAAATGGTTGATTTAAAAAAAGACTTGGACGAATATTTGCTATTACATAGTGATCAAAGGAAGGTTTTTAATCTCCATATGCCGTCAATTGAAGCACCAAATATAACTAGATGGTTTATGAAAGAATCTTTACAACAGGAAGAACATACTTGGTTTCGAAGGATTACTAACCAGTGCTTTCCTACTTTGGTAAAGTATAATTCATTGTTTGGTAAATATTTTCATTAAACAGATTTGTTGAAAATCGCGAATTGGGCATTTCGCAATTGCGGGCACTCTAACCTAACCATTTTAGTAAAATATGTATATGAATGCTACAAATATAAATTTACTTTTACGAAATAATAATTTGTGTTATGAGAAGCTACAAATTTTAAATAAGCATAAAACTTGCCGTATTTTTTTGTAAAATGTATATGAAGGTTTAAAATATAAGTTACTTTTACGAAATTATAATTTGTATTATGAGAAGTTACAAGATTTAAATACATTAAATAAATTTTTTATATCATTTTAATCAGTTGTATTGTATATGCATTTGATTATTATCTTTATTTTAACTAAAATCTTTGAATTTTTATATAATTTCAATGCATTTCTATTATATAGGGTAATTTAATTATTACTATTAATTTTTTATATAATTTTAATCAATTTAATTGTATATGCATTTGATTATTATCTTTAATTTAACTAAAATATATACTATTAATTTTTTATATATCACTTTAATCAACATTTGTATATTATTTGAGAGTTTGAAAAAACTGGAGACTTGGCAACTCTGACACCATTTAAGCGAACGTTAAGGGCCGGTTCTACATTCCAGGTATAAATTGGAGAATAGTTATTCTGAGTATAACTTATACTTGAGTTTATTCCAAGTATAACCTTTCGAGCGTTCTACATTGTGAAATCGACAGCGGAATAGTTATTCTGGGTATAACCACAGAACACTAAGGTAAAACGAAATAGTAGATCTGATGTCTTCAAAATTAGTTCAAATTGTTATTGACAGCGACATTTGGCATTTGTCATAACTGTAAAATTTATTTACAATTGAAAGGAATTGAATAATTGATTCGCTTTATCTGGTATTTTATCTACGTTTATATTATTATACTTTTCAAAATTAATATAAAATGGATAAAAAATGATGTCCTTCTTAAATTTTTTGTTATCATCAACTGAGATTAGTGTTATAATATAATAACCAAAATTATGTAAATATATCTATATAGGTATACTCCACATTTTAAAAAAGTATAAATATTGGATTACAAAATAAATAATTTTAGTTAAAGAAATAAGTATTATATAATACAGATTCTAGAATTACAGTCTCTGTTATCAAAACATTAAAAAATATATTGCCTTGGTAAGATTATACCTATACTAGGTATACTAGTCATATGTGTAGACGTTATTATATTACATACATATTCTAAAATTTTAGAATTGAAATAATAAATGCTTTCTTTTTCCTTTGGATTGCCTAATAAAATTTCCTTTGGATTTACAATCTAAAATGTTTGTGCAATATCAAAAATTTTATTTTATATATAAAAACAAACAAAGTGAGGTTAAAATATTACAGATTTGACAACCCCTGACCGACCAATAGAAATGTAGTATAAATTTATACTCGGTATATCTGCTAATCTTTGGAGGGATAAAGTTATTCTACAGATATACTCCGATTATCTTATTCCTAGTTTATTCTTTGTTTGTAGAACACCATTAATGAAGTTATTCCAAGTATAACTTTATTCTCAGTATATACTAGCATTGTAGAACCAGCCCTAAATGTCATATATGCTTGGTTAGGTTAGAGTGCCCGCAATTGCGAGATTTTTTGGACTCTGGCTGAAAACCCCAAATTTTGACGATTGTAATGCAGCAAGTTATAAAAACTAAGAATTTTCTATTCTGTCCTGTAAACAAGTAATTTCGTTCATCAGTTAATTTTTCATACAGAGATTGATTTCCAAAGCCATTTTATTTTTTGTTTGTCGTTTCGGAATAGTAGATCCCCATCTATCAAAAAATAGTTCCTTTTTTCTCTTAATTACTTTGGTGTATCTAACAATAAAGTAAACTTTCCATACTTTTTTCAATAAAAATAATTTTTTCAAATTGTTCACTGAGCTGAATAAAAACAAGGTACTTTTTCTTGTGGCTTCATTTTTCCAGATATTTTAGCAGCGATCGAATAGAAGTGTTGTATTAGGTATGTTATACTATTCTTGTTAACACAGGTGACATTTTGTAACTTTTCAATGCCTGTATAAATTTTAAATAAAATTCTGAATGTAAATTTTTTTACCATAACTTTTATTGTATTTATTTAATGTATTTTATAACATCGCAACATATGCATTTGACATTGTTTGACATCTATATATGACTTCACAATCATTAGAACTGAAGAAGTGCAGAAATACTGCATGAAACATTTTCTATTAAAAGATTGAAATAGTTTTTTCATTTTTTATTTCTCCTTGACTGATATCCTCATTTACAGTGAGATTTTAATCTCACTCACATTGTGTGTATATATATATATATATATATATATATATATATATATATATATATATATATATATATATATATACAGTAGAGTCTCGATTATCCGCCCTTCGGTTATCCGCCGTTCCGTTTTATCCGCCGCACAATTTATGCAAAAAAAAAATTAATTTTGTATAATTTTGAAAATAATCTGCTATACGCCAATGACTGTACAGGTAGGAATTTGGTGTCAGGCTGCCAGACAAAATAGATTATTTACCTCCCCGTCCCCAGACCAGTCATAAATACTCTGTTTTTATAACTTTATTACTTTATTTGCTATTTAGTACACTTTCGTCGAATCAACTATTGTTCCTTTCAGTGAGTCATGCACAGTAAGGTTATTTGTTCACTTTACCATTTTGAGGCCCGTACGCTACGAGTAAGAGTTTATTCTTTGCTATCAATCGATCATGGTTATGGAGAAACAAAAAAGGAAAAAGATTGTCTTATCAATGCAAGACAAACTAAATGCATTAAAAAGGCTTGATAAAGGGGAAACACTGCAGAGAGTGGCTGATGACTATGGTGTTGGTCGTCGTACTGTTGGAGATTGGAGGAAAAACCGATCAGAATTGGAAAAATGGTGTTCTTCACGAGCCACTGAAATCGACTTGAAAGACAGAAAATCCATGAAAAAAAGTGATTACGAAAAAACTAGCGAGGCTTTGTACATTTGGTTTGTCCACTTTAGGGATAAGGGAGTGCCTATATCCGGGCCTATCTTAAAAGAAAAGGCATTGCACTTCCAAAAGCAATTTCAAGAGGGTGAGGCAGATTTTACAGCAAGTGTCGGCTGGCTAGACCGTTGGAAGAAGCGGTACGGGATTCGTCAGCTGTCTATTTGTGGTGAGAAATTATCATCAAACTTTCAAGGAATGGCTACATTTAAGAAATCGTTTCAAGCATTTATTAAGGCGGAAAATTTAACAAATGATCAAATATTTAATTGCGATGAAACAGGCCTTAATTATAAAATGTTACCCAATAAGAGTCTTGCAGCTAAAAGTGAATCAGCAGCTCCTGGCTATAAACGCAGCAAAGAGCGAGTAACCATTTTAGCATGTAGCAATTCCACGTCAAACCATAAGATGGAACTCACAATGATTGGAAAGGCAAAGAACCCCAGAGCATTTAAGGGAATTTCAAGACATGCTCTACCAGTGAAATATTGCAATCAGAAAAGTGCGTGGATGAGCAGTGACATTTTTAAAGATTGGTTCTTCTCGGATTTTGTACCATCAACAGAGAAGTTTCTAAAAGACAATAATTTACCAAGAAAAGCAGTTTTACTGTTAGATAATGCGCCGACTCATCCTGATGAAAGTGAACTAAAAGATGGGGACATAAAGGCCATGTTCCTCCCTCCGAATGTCACAGCTATCTGTCAACCTATGGACCAGGGTGTTTTGGAGACGCTGAAAAGAAACTATCGGAGAATCCTTCTATCGACCATGATAGAAGAAATGAACGATGGCCGAGACTTAATCCCTATATTGAAAGCCATTAACTTGAAAGATGTGTCCTACTGGATCTCAAGTGCATGGGATAAGGTTGGGGCACAAACAATTACTAAGTCCTGGGATAAGCTGTTGTGTGAGGATGAAGGAACTGCTGACAACACTTTGGATGAACTTCAGGAAAATATATTGCCCTTAGTGAAACGTATCTCTGGATGTGAGGATGCGTCTTTGGGTGATGTTGGAGAGTGGTTTTCAAGGGATGAACAATATGAAATAACCGATGAAGAAATTGTTACGGTTGTTAATAGTGAAGGTGTTGAAGACATCGAAGAATTAGAGACTGTTGAGCCACAAAAAGTTTCACACAAAGAAGGAGTAAAAATTTTTGAAGCTGCGATAAAATACGTCGAGCAACAAGAGGAAGCCAGAGCTGTCGATATTATGATGCTACAGAGATGGCGAGACTTGGCAGCAACACAACGAGATACATCAGCAAGACAGATGAAAATCACTAGTTTTTTTCGTTCACCCTAAACCATTATGTCTACAATATCCAATGTAAGTCAATGTTGAACTGATTCTAGTTTTATTTTAATCTTGTTAATATTATTATATACATAAAGTATACAGTACATAATTACACTTTTATTGCACTTAAATAAAGTCCATTGCAATGTTATTACAATAGCCCCAAACTTGTGTTTCATTTTCTACCCTCCCTATTATCCGCCATTCCAGCTTATCCGCCCTTCCGTCGGCCCGTTTATGGCGGATAACCGAGACTCTACTGTATATGTATATATATATATATATATATATATATATATATATATATTTATATTTATATATATATATATATATATTATATATATATATATATATATATATATATATATATATATATATATATACCAATTCTTTGTAATTATGTCTTAGATGACTTGATTAAAGATTGTTTGCAACAAATCAATTTTGAAATACCTTTTATAAAGAGATATGTGGATGACTTAATCTTGGCACTACCAGCAGACTCTATACAATTTACGTTAAATGTTTTCAACCAACAAAACCCACACTTGCAATTCACATGCGAGGAAGAGCGGGAGGGATCTTTGCCCTTCCTTGACATGCGTTTGCATAGATGTGAGGATAATG